CATTTTTTAGTTTAAAATCGGAAGTAAAGCATCACTCCTTACGACACTGTTTTGGCAAACAATATAATGCCAAACATATATATAATTTTATATACATTGTATTTTTTAATATAAACATTTATAAATTTACTACTAACATATCCTCAAGTCTAAACTAGTTGAGAATGCTATAAAGCATTGCCTACAAACAAACTTTAATGGTGTAAATTATTTTGTATAAATATTATACTATAATACTCCATAAATTTATATGCATTACTAAAAATTTTATTGTCTGTATATTTAATATGTTTAGAATATTTAAATAGAATACCCGTATATTTCGTAAAAGTTAATATAAATAAATTATTTATTTAGATAATCATTAGTCCATATGAGTCATAATATAATTAAAATATGAATTAATTTATATTTAGTCATATTATATATATATCTTATACAATACCACAAATGCATAATTAAATTGATATTCAACCAAAATTTTAAAAATAATTTTGTCGGCCATTTTGACAATGTTTATGATATGATGAGTGCAATACTTCTTAATACTTTCTATTTTACATTTTAAATCTTTATATGAATTTCAAGTAAAAATTTTTATATTACAGAAAACAAAACTTTTTCAAAGTTTGTTTGAAAATTCAATTGTATCTACTATTTAAATAAATTGAAATAAATATATTTGTAGGCGTTGTGGATGTTGTAAACTTAAATTGCTTTACATTATTCACATTTAGATAAACTGATTCTTGCATTTTTTTGTAACTTCAAATGTCTCATAAAACCCGTATATTTATTACATAGTGTTATCTCATTTATATTAACAAACAATTGTTGTGTTTTTGTAAAAGAATATTCTGTAGAATTTCAATAAGTTTCTAACATTTCAGAATAAATGAAATTTAAATTTAAAATAATTTTAAAAATTTATTTGAATGCAAATAAAAAATATAAAAATATATAAGTAGAGTGTGAATAAAATTATTTTTTTAGTTATTGTTTTYATATGCAAAATTTATATTGATTTTGTGTATAACATTAAGCGCGTTAAAATATAAAAACACAATGTATTTTTTGTTTGTTAACATATTTGCATCTAATTAGTGCATCCAATAAATTAAAATAAGTAGTTTTAATAAAAGATTATTAGTTGTATATATTATACAACAACAAAAATACTAAACAAAACATAAATTTAAAAAATAGTTTTTATTTATTTTTTCAAAACTATAATAAAACAATTTAAAAATGTTTGAATTTTAAATATTAGTTATTTGTTTCAGTAGATATTGATAAACAACATTATATAATTAAACGACATTTTGAATTGATGTCTATTGTTGATATAAACGGCTATTTTTTTCACTTACAAAGTTTGAGATTAAACCTATATATTTTCATTATAAACAAATGGTTTTTGGTATATAATATGAATCTTTTGGGTTCAATTGAGTTGCCATTTAAATATGTTGTGGCAATCAATTTCTATGACGACTAATTAATTATATTAAATAATATATTTCCCAATTAAAACATTTTTTAAAACCTTATAATTAATTGATATATTATTAATCTTTTTAGCAAATAAATTATAAAACTATTATTGTGTGATAATTAATTTACCAGGGTAAACGCAATTCATAAAATATAATATTATTTTTTAATTTATAGATAAACATTTAAACATTTACGTATAATTTTTATGATGTTTATGTTTAACATTAATAGTTGGTTATAATAAATGCACTAAATTTTATTATATCAGATATTATCAAAATTATGCATTATTTAACATAAATAATTACAATAATATTGTAATATGAATTTATTTAATGTATTTATTTTTATCTGATGAAAAATAATAAATATCTAACACATAATACAATTTATTCAATATATGTAATAAATACTATTTATTATAACATATTGTGTGTGAAATATAGGTGTTTAAATATACAAAATATATCTATACATTAATAATATTAGTATAATTAAAGTATAATTAATATTTATACACTTATTATAAATCATTAAAGATATATAGATATGACATTTAAGATAAGAGCAACCGTGATATACAATATTAGAAGAATAGTAATAATAGTAATAATAATAATAATAATTATTATTATTATTATCGCAATAAGACCTATCATACTATATTATAATGATTATTATTTAATATTTAAGCAAAATAAACCTTAAAGATATAAAATAAATATTTATAAATATATCAACATATATGTACTGTATATAGGGATACGTTATATATTATTAAATATTTAATAAAGCTAAATGTTTGATTCATAAAAAGGCTATACAATTATGTATTATTAAGTACTGTATTATATTAAATAAAATATTTATAACAAACATTTTCTGTGTGACATTTATCAGTATATATATATATATATATATATATATATAATATGGTATATTCAACTAAAATTTACAAATTAGCATATTTGTTGTCAACGGTAATTTATTTATTACTTAACAAAAAAATTTAGTAAAAATAAACAAAAATCGATATAACTTTACTGCACTGAACTATTGTATAACATTATGATATTGTATGACATACTGCATGTTTAATACTTTATTGTAAAATAATTTTAATACTTTTTTGTATAAAATGTTCAGTTTATTTATATAAAGGTATACTGTATTGTGTAATTTAAATGTACTGTAATAATACATATTAGTATTTTATTCTAAAAATTTCATAATTATGTAAAAATTTACAAAAGCAAACATATATTATATTATATTTTATAATCTTGACATATACTGTATATACCAGTACTGTTGCAGTAAAATAATTAGTAATGATTCAAATTTAATATTATAATAATTTTTAAAGAAAAACTTAAAAAGTAAATTATATGTGTTTAATATTTATTACATAATACATATACAATTTATCAAGCAACATGTCTATTAAATAGTGTCAATATTTGGATACATTCAATAACAATAATAATAATATTCATGACATACTTTAAATGTCAATACAATTTTTACAGAATTTTTATAAATATATATATATAATGATTATCAGTAGGAAACTAAAGTAAATGAAATCCAATCCGACAACTCATTACTTATTTTGATTACTTTGTATTTTATTGGTCAYTGGATTTCTAATCTCATAAATGATCATAATATACAGTATATATATATAAACAAATGTATTAGTATTTTCTTATATAAATTTATATAATAATATATATTCTATTTTTACGGTATATTAAACAAAAATAATTAATAAGAAACTGTATTATCCAAATGTATTAAAAAGTAATATACAAGTTGATTGTATATTGATTTTATATATTTGTTATATATTAACTAAATTGGTACAGTATTTGTAAATTATTAAAATGTTTGGTTGATTTGTTGTCTATATTTTACAAAATATATGACCTTTTCTTTTCGTGTCAATTATTATTTTGTTTGTTTACAACACAAACTCGACTTTTTCTGTAAGAAGCGATATATTTAACCACACGGTTTGGTCCCTAAACTTATACATAATTTATATATTGTATGAAATGTTTGGCGAAAAAATGAGAAACAGATAGACGATAGAAGAAAAAGAAGAAAAAAGCAGAAAAATTACATAAAAATAAATTAGATTTTGTGTGCAATGCCTAAAACATATGTATAATTGATATGACATTTCAGTGTTAGTTTTATGTATAAATATATATGTGTTTCTATTGGAGTGTAATTTGTTTTTTATATTTTGTTAACCGGGTTCTCAACTGATAGTCCATATGTGTGTATCTCCTGAAGCCTTAATAGACACAMATAATGGGCTAAATTTTTCCTCAATTTCATTGCACAATACTATACAATGAGATAAACATTTCATTAATAATCAACAATATGATGATATATTGATTAACAATTTTTAACAATAATTAAATTAAATTTTATATTTCTCTATTAAAGGCCTTAAGCGTTTATTAATGTTTTTATTGTGAGTAAATTATTTATATAACATTATATAATACCGTACTATAAGTTCTGTATCTGTCATATATTATTATTATTAGTTTTTTCATCTAATTTTCAATTTACTGTATAATTAATTAATCGCTGAATGTTTGAAAACCTGATACTCTCTAAATCTAAATATTTACCCTAATATTTATTTAATTTTTAATTAATTTGCTAATTATCCGGGCATTATAATAAAATTATATAAAAATAAAAATATTTTGTTAAAATAAATGTCAAAATATATTATATTAGTAATGATTCATTAAAATAAATAAGTTTWTACAAGTTTGGTAAACATATTGCATTTTAAATCAATTACTGAGTATTCAAACATTATATTTTATTTAGTTTACGTGTTTTTCATTTATATATTTTAAATTTTAAATTGAATTTCAATGTTTATAACTAGTGATGTTCAATATGTTGACATTTTAAATACTATAATTTTGTATTATATCATTGTTATATATCAAGTTTATACTACTGTATAATATAAACCTGTATTTTATAAAAACCAGTACATTGTAACCAAACTAAACATTCAATAACTGTTGCAAACCCTTTGTGTAATGCATTGATTCAAATAGTATACAATAGTTTATACAGTAATATAATATTTATTTTGTAAAATGTTAAAATATAATATTTTATAATTTTTCTACAAATATATTTATATTTGATTTGAAAAACTTGTCAATGTATTAAATAAATAATATTATATATAAATAATGATGTATTGCTTTTTCCAAAATATTAAGGTATATACAATATATTATATAATAAATATTTGTTTTATATTTGGCTTTATAGAAAGTGTGTAAAATATTTTTTTTTTGTAAAATGTTTAATAAATGAACTTAAATGAACTATACTGTATTGTATTGTAAATTAAATGAATTGATATCACTTTTTTAGACACATGGGATACAATATAACTACTATAATATAATAAATTTCAGAGACATATCCTTTAAATAAAACATTTGTTTCACTATTAATGTCTAACGTCTTTGACGACCTCCTCATAGGAAGGCGGGTCATCGATATCTGATTGCTGTGGGAATAGTGTATCGAATTGGTATGGATTGTACTCGACTTCATCAGAGGACGAGGACAGACTACTAACCAGTTGTGCGGGCGATGGCATAATAATTGTCTGACGTATGGGAACGGGCTCTTCAAAAGTTCGATAGGCAGAGGAACGGCTGGCGTTGGATGACGTTTGGGTTAGCGGTCGGTGAGAATTGATTGATGAACTTCGGTGACGACTCGCACGAGTCGATCGGCGCCTATGAGAACCATTGAGGACGTCGTTCTGCACTTCGGAGTCCTTTCGGGTGCAGAGGAAGAGCATAACAATGGCAAATATGACAAACCCACTGACTTTGGCCACATTATCCCAAATGGTGTCACTGTATGTCGGCGATGTTGTTTCGCTGGCCTCACTGCCCGATCGGTATAAACAAGTTCGGCTGTAGACGTCATAGAAGTAATTCTTACGGCATTTGCACACAAAGTTACGACAGTAGAGGTTTGATATGCATTGAGTATTGTCTGAGCAAAAGTCGTCGAGAGATTTCTTTTGAATACATGAGTCGTCTAAATGATAATAAGTGTCGTTACAAATGCAAACATTGTCTTTGCACTGACTATTAGTCACAAACTTAGCACAGTGTTCATCAACAGTACAATGCCGTCCAATAACCTTATAATTGCATTGCTGTCTATAGCCATCATTACTACCCCTATCACTGTTACCATCCCTTTCCTTATCGCACTCACAGAAACCTAAGATATTGTTTTTCTGTCGTTTAATAATAAAGTTAAGCAATGCTTTTCTAACAATGAGTTTGTTATAGGAGTTTCCATCAAAGTTGACTTCAATATCATTAGTGGCGGTACACTTGCCATCAATGCATGGCTTGTATATTATACATCTTGAGTTGACATTTGATCGTTGAAGACAAACACCGTTTGGCAATAAATATCTATAATTTGGTATACAATAGCATATATGGGTTATATTATCGCAGTGAAGCTCTTGGTCGCAGTCAGGTTGCAATTGACATGTATTGAAACAGTTGACACCAATTGAGATAATATAGACAGTGGTCACCATAAGATACAAAAGTGTAGAATAAAACATTTGTCTTTATTTTTTGTTAGATATTTTTGATAATTATTGGCACTAAATCTTAATCCTATTAAATAAAACATCGATGACCTAACATACTGTATTATAGTAATAAAATTGCAAAAATAAATACAAAATATATTATAATTTATAACTTATATAAATGTATATAAAGATTTTTATTAAACTACTGTTAACCAACTGTGAGGATAATAATAATAAAAGAATGGGAACGACACTCGAGTAGCGGTGGTTTGAGAGCACCGGCGGAATACATGCGCCGAGTCTTTCACCTTAAAGTTTAGTCTTTAACTAACTAAGCGTTTATATATGAAAATATATTAACTCTATGTTCATCGCCAAACACTCTTGCATTACATACATACATACAAACCATGTATTATCCAAAATATCCAATGCATACATACATAACATTCATCTCATTTAATCGGAAAACAAGTATTACTGCAAACAATACTATATATTATTTTATCGATTAATTAATGCTTTGATTGTTAGTCAAACAGATAATCACTTGTTGTGTGTATGTCTTTCTCCTACCGATCACTACTTGATATGCAAATCGTATATTAATTAGTTTTACAGTCATTGCTGCAGAAAAATAGTACATTTTTTATACAATAATCTAATGGATAGACAATAGATTTTTTTTGGTACTGTAGTTACGGTAATATATAGTATTATATGGTACTATGTTTTCACTATGTTTTAATGTATTATTTTACGTGAGAGATAACAGAGAGATAACAAAAGCATTGGTATGTTATAAAGTAAATGGCAATGAATATCGATTTTTACAATATATATATATATATAAAATAAATATATATCACATTGAATTCTGAACTCTACTCTCTCTCTCTCTAAAAATTTATATATCACATGTATAGTCGATATAGTTTATTGCAATTTTTTATTTGTAAAATTTTATATTTTGCTCAACTAAAACAATATTAGGAGAGAGAGAGAGAGAGAGAGAGAGAGAGAGAGAAATTGAAAAGATGAACAAACATTTATTTTTTAATGTTTTTCATCAGTTTATATATATTATATGTTAGTAAAGTTCACAAAATATCACAAATAATGAATTATAAGAACAATTCTTAATACTTGAGAAATAAATATAAAAAAGTATTAAGAATTAGTGGGGAATTGTATAACAAATTATTTTTTGGTTTTAATATTTTTATAAATATTATTAAATATAATACTTTATTGCCATTGTTTGCCATTAACAATACAAATAAATCATCTGATGTTGTTTGCAACGTGAGTCTGCATTATATAAATATTATGTAACGATTAAGTGAAACACACTAAACAAATACATTGTGTAGTGTGTGTTGTATTTGTCAGTCTATTTCCGAGAAAATGAAAACATTTACCGGCTTTTTATATAACCAAATAAGAGCTCAATTTAAACGAGTTTTTATTATCACTCTATTATTATTATTATCTATCATTTGTCTCTCATCTAATTCATTGTCAAATAAAGGTCAGCCAATAGTTGATGTGAAATTGACCGAAAAGTTTTGTCACTAAAACCAATCATTAATTATCCGTCGATGACATTAATATTACAGCACTTTTAGCACATAATATAATATTATACCTCAGATGACAATCACCAGATCCTAAACCCAGAGATTCCTATTCCTAAAACTACACATCATTTTTAAGGATAAATCTTCAGATTTCACTGAATTTCCTTATAATATTGAAATAGTTTCTAACGAAAAAAAACTATTTTTACTGTAACTCTAAATAAATGATTACCAGTCCATTATTTATAAAGTACAATACAATACATTATTTTAATTGATATTAGTTGTCGTAATGATTAATATTTTTATTTTTAATCATTTTCATCAACAACAACAAAATTATTAAAAAATTTAATTATTTTTAAATAGCATTTTATAACCAAGTGTTTAGTATGTAGACAAAAAAAATGCATTGTCAGCATTGAAAATTAATTATAGTTTATTCAAAATTAAGTTAATTTTATTGTGATTGTGTGTCAGTTAATATAAAAGAAAAAGTATTATACTTTAGTAATATGCTATATAACAGAATATATTTTTGTTTATATGTACAGTATGTGTGAGTTTGTGCGTATATATACTGTATATATATATATATATATATATATAGTGTGTATGTGTTTGTGTCATGAAATCTAATTTAAATCACGTACTGAACATCCACTCCATTATCTAAGTCTATGTTAGAGCTCATCAACCATTAAACCTGAAAACAAATCACTTATTTTAAATGAAATGCATTTGTACTGTATTTTTAATGAACGCATATATAAAACCTGTAATCACTGAAAACTCAACGAAAACAACTGCACTATATTTATACTGTACTCTTGAAAAWATAATCGTTGGACTTAACAAATATCTACAATTCTTTATATATATAATATAAGAATKTCTTTATATATACGATATATTTTTAGATTAATAAACTGAATAATTATTTATATACTTATATATGAATATTCCTTAGAGATAATCATTTGCTGTACACTTAAGTTGATTATAGAAATTAAACTTATTTAGTAAATAAATCTTTTAAATCATTAACTAATAAAACAAAAACAAAAACAAAAATAAAATAACACAAACACGTATCACATCTTCATTTATGTTTAGCAATAAGTAAATTGTTTGCAATGAAATTACAGTCAAAAGATTGACGCAAATTAGTGGAAAAAATAAAAGTAAAAAAAATAAAAAACAATTACAGGAATTGTTACCGATTTCTCTTCCCTTTTATTATATAAATAAATAAAGTAAATCAAGACTTAAACAATAATAAATAATAAAATAAAATATACAGATTTGAATTGAAAAAAACCAAAATAAAAAATACTAAAAAGAAACTGTTATTATAAGTAACAATAACTTTATGCAAAATATTTTTTATTGACAAATGCTAAACAATTTCTTAAAATGTTATTTGAATTTTTTTGTCTATTTTGATCATTAATTTTGTTATTATATTATATTTACTCTTTTATTTGATGTTAAGATTATGTAAAACTATTTATATTTCATTCAATTATAATTCTACGAAATCCCAGCAAAATAGTTATATTTATTTATTTTTAATGTCACTTAAGATAACAAGTATTTAAAAAATCAAAAGTTTTTTCATTCAATGACGACATTAGTTAGATAAATGTTTTTTATTTGTCTATAGATTCAAAATGTTATAAATATTTGTTTAATATCAACACATTTGCAACGTTAGCTAACAGCTCATGTATTTCGCAATCATAATAAACAGATAGTTGTGTACAACTAAATGACAAATACCTTACAGATGACTATCACTATAATAGTGGTCATAGAAATGAATCTCATGATTATTATTTTAGTCATACAACTGATGATTACTTATTTTTATCACTCTCTCGATGCCTGTCCTAAAATAACAGACCAAATCCGGTCAAATAATTGACTTGACTTTGACTGTACAGAAAAGTGGTCAACAAATAAATGACAAAATATAAGATCTCTTAATGTATAAACTTATCTAATCGTAGAAAATGATTGTCATTTATATTTAATATTATATACAGTATATAAACTTTATTTGTGTCTATATTTATAATATCATAATATTACTGCCATTTGCTTATTACAAAAAAGCATTGCTTATGAATTAAGGTTTGAATCTCAAATGACAAAAATTAATATGTAATTTATTCAATATTTAAATTACAATAAAATATCATTTTATTGAAAATATTTCGATTATATCTCTAATGACACACCAAATGAATTTAGATATTATTAAAGAATATTTTATGATTTTTTGTTGCAATTGATTGCTTTGCAGTGACACTCAAATTTTACATAAATTTATTTTTTTTATTTCAAACATGTTTCCATATATGATATAATATTATTCAAATAATATATATAATATAATATATCATACAAAAGACATCATTAACTTTGTGTGTATGTATGTATGTATGTATGTATGTRTGTGTGTGTGTGTGTGTGTGTGTGTGTGTGTGTGTGTGTGTGTGTGTGTGTGTGTGTGTGTGTGTGTGTGTGTGTGTGTGTGTGTGTGTGTGTGTGTGTGTGTGTGTGTGTGTGTGACAAAAAAACAGAAAATAAATTTATTATAACACAAATCAGTCGAATTATTTTTTATAAGCAGATCTTATAGGTTCAGCTGAAAAGTATTGTTATGTTGTATCAAACGATTCATTATATCAATATATTTGAAAAATATTAAAGATTGAGATATTTTCTGCTAACAAATGGTATTATTTTAGTATTTTCTTAGTAACAAATATTGTGTGTATATATATACCGGTATATATATATATATATATATATATATATATAGATATTTGAGTGATATAAAATATAAATATATATTAATCATAACAATGTATGATATGACTGATATTGTATAAATCAAAGTATTTTTAGCACTAAGTGCTAGAAATCGATTGAATTATAACTTTTCAGCAAATTTTTATTTACAAATTGCAAAAATTTCATAATATTTTCCTCTGGGGATAAATATAGATTAAAAATAAATTCATGAATGTCTGTATACTGTAGACATAACTAATAATTTGTGCGAATATTTACATTAAAAAAAGTTTTTCATTATTCAAATTGAAATATATTACTATAAATTTGTTGAATGTTTGAAATGATTGTCAATTGTGTGATAATTCTGTATATATAATATATTATACAAAGAGTTATTTTTATAGCAAATTTATGTCTACTATAAATAGTGTGAGTAAATAAAAAATATTAATTTTTAGAAACCAAAAATTGATTATAAGTACACATACTTTATATAATATAAAAATATGATATATTTTTAATGATTCATAAAACTATCAAATGCTAACATATTTTTTTATTTCTTTTTCTTTTTTATTGTGATTTATATCACTATTGTATATAAAGGCGAGACTTATTGATTTTGGTGTCAATGAAGTCATTTACCGAAAACAATGGTCTGAATAATATTGATATTGATTTTTGCTATTAAGATCTAACAAACAAACTAATTATAACCATTTTTAATGTATGTATGTATTGTATTAATGATAATAACAAATGTTAAAAGTTAAACATTAATATTTGTAGTAAATCTAATCACAATCAAACTATATTTTTAGATATGAAATAATTTTTGAATATTATTATAATTTTATTTTTATATTGTATATACAAATATTTACATAACCGATAAAAATAAATAATAATTCTTATAATATAACTTATATACTGTATCTTATTATTTATGTAATGTATTATTTATGATCAAATTATAAAAAATAAAAAATATATATGATATATAAAAAATATAATTTAAATTTTATGCTAGAATTTTTAATCAATAAACTTTAATCTAAATTTATATAACATTTATTTTTTTTTATATTATTGTATAATAACATATATTTTAAGTAACAAAAAATTCATATTAATAAAAGTTTAAACAATTGAATATTAAAAAAATAATATTAAATTGATTTTAAAAACAATAAATGTTATAATTTATTGCTCCAAATAGTATTCAAACAAATATTCTAATGTATTTACATTTAAAATGATAAATTGAATGTTTTATTTTTTAACAATTATTTATTATGTGATAAATTATAAGTCACTAACCATTAACCATTTGTTTGCAAATTGCAATGAAATTATAAAACTAAAAATATTATAAATATTATATTTGCTTATAAAATAATGTTAAGGTTTTAGTAAAATGTCATTTATTGAATATTTACTGTTTTTTACCTAACATTTGAAGAAAATCTTTGATACCATTTGTCAAAATCAGACAACAAATGTCTTGTGTTTATCTAATTGGATGACTTCCTCATAGGTCGGTGGGTCGTCACTATAAACATGACTATCGTTAGGGTAGATCTCGTCAAACGTCGGCGGAGGATAGCTTTGATTGATGGCAACGTTTATTTCGATGTCAGACTCTAACGATAGCCGAGAGTCAGGCAGATCTGTACCGTCCGAATCCTCGGTAATCGATGCAATGGCATAATCAGTATCGCATTGTCTGTATTGCGACGCCTGATCCATATACTCTCGACGGACAGCCTGTTCGACGAGTCTAAGACCGCGTTTGGCGTTTCCCAGAATAAACAGCAGACATAACCAAAGGGCCAAAATTACAAATATAGTGTACACTCGCGGCGGATCTATTAGCTCATAGTCTTCCATATGGTTCATATCAGTCGACAAATGAATGTAATTTCGTTTCATACAGTCTACCAGTGCCTCATTGTCTGAACAATTGTGAGTATCGAGTGGTTCACATTTATTGGTCTTATATTTATCATAATAAAAGCCAGTTTCACATTTGCATCGATTCTTTATACATACCAGACTGGGATGACCACAGGTTTGGCCAATCAAACAGTGATCGTCGTAATTGAGCTGAGCTTTACAGGAGAAGGTGTATGAATCATAAGAATAGCTATCTCTGCACTGACAGCGATTGAAAACATTGCAAATACTGTTTGATAGTGTATTATAACAATCCAATCCTTTTATACATTTACTACCGATTATTGTATTTCTTATACAGGCTTTCAGCTTCTGRTTGTATTTAAAGCCATTATTTTGGTCACAACCACATCGACCCGGGTTTGTGAAACCAAATCGATTCCACAGCAGTATCCAGAAGTCATCCCGAAATTCAGTGTCCAATCCATAACATCCGGCATTTGGTATATGACTGCATTCGGCTGAACCCATACACGACTCGTTGATGGCTCGGCTCTTCAAACATATACCACTCAAATAATTGATTGTATAGTTTGGACCACATTTACAGAGTTGACTCGTTTGGTCGCACACTTGACTCTCTGAGTTACGGCACCCACTGGTCGGGTATCGTTGGAAATCACATTTCGCTAATTTCTGGCATATTATAGACGATGTCAGATAAATTAAATAAAATATCAAACATTTGAAAGCATAGTAATTATATTGACAAATATATGTCATGATTTATCATCAATTTTACATAACTTTATTTCAATAATAATAATTAAATCATTACAAAAAGCAATGTTTGCCTTTTAAATGGAAACCAATGTCTAGTAAGATATCAACAAATATAATGTATAACTGCTGTAAAGCGCTGTATTATGATGTGATGTTCAAATAAAATATCGATTTATAATATTTTTATTTAAAATATGTATAGAATATTCTTATATTTAGCGGTAATATAAAAACTATATACAGTACAGAATAAAGTATAAATAAATATAATTAAATAATTAATTTGCATAAATAAATGAATTAATTAATTTAAGCAATCGTTGAATCAATTTGTATTGTTGTTTCAGTTGAATGGTTAGTTGTATTTAACTTTTTAATATGTATTTTCTTATGTCTAATCATATGTCCCTTATCGACAAATGCCTTTCCGCACCCTTTATAAGGACATACATAATCTTTTTGTCCATTGTGTCGCTTCATATGTAACTTCAAATTGGTAAGCGTTAGAAACTTTTGTCCGCAATCTGGCCAATCACATGCTTGCTGTTTATCGTTGATATGCGTCTTCTCATGGCTAATCATTTTTGTAAATAAACCAATAATTAAAATATTAAGTAAATTAATTAGTTTATAATTACTGTATAATAAAACAGTAAGTCTACCTTTTTAAACTGTAACTCAATTTGAATGATTTGTCACAACCGGGCCATTGGCACGGGTAGAGTCTGTCATCGCAGTGGACAACCGAATGTAGTTTCAAACTTTGCTCTGAAATCAAACACAAAATATGTTAAAATCAATTTATATTCTTCAATGCATTAATAGGTATACTTGTGGCCGCTTTGTAATCACAGTCAGGATGTGGACACTCATATCTTTCTTTATTTTCGTGAACTTTTTCCATATGACTTATAAGTATCGATTGAGTGGCCAATATGTTGCCACATCCGGGCCATAAACACTGAAAAGTAGTGTCGCCTTTATGTCGCATAATATGACCTAACATTTTAATATATCAATAAAATAATTATTAGCGCTAAGTGTGTAACAATTACCGTAATAACAAAAACAAATAAATTGTAAACAACCTTCAAATGTATCTTTATATTTGGTCTTAAATGAACAGTTACTCCAAATGCATGTATAATATGTATCTTCTGATGTGTGAACATTCTTCATGTGTTCATCTAATGTCTTCTGAGTCAGCAATCTTTTGCCACAAATAGTACATTCAAATGGTCTGATATTTAGGTGATGATAGTTAATGTGATTTGTTAGTCGAGATCTCTTATTAGTCGTGTAAATGCAAAACTCGCAACAAATTGTTTTCTTAACTATTATTAAAAAACAATAAAAATTATATTAAATTATCAAAACTAAGATAACTTATAGATATTGAAAGAGTTGACAAATGTGTGAAACCATTAGACTTACTATGTTTGGTACTTCTGGATCTGTTATTTCTCTTTATTTGTTTAGAGTCTTCTTCAAAATCGTAATCCGAGTCATCGTTTGACTTCTTTTTGCGTTTCTTTACTTCTATGTCTTCTTCTACTTCTTCATCACAATTAATATCAATTGATTTCTTCAAACTATTTCTTTTTTGTCTTTTTGTTTGTTTAATCTCTACATTAAAGTCTAAGTCAACGTGTGATTCAATGTTTTGACCAATTGTTTTCAAATCACATTCACTGTTGCCATCGATATGATTAAACACAAGACGATCTAAATTTACAAAATTATCTTTTTTTCTGATGCTTTTGTCACCACTTTGTTGTTGACCACCAAATGTTTGACATTTGCCAGAAATGGCAATCAACTTATTACATGTCTTCACATCATTCACTATATTGTCGTATTGATGGATCAGTTGTCCGATGCGTTCATTTGTTTGGCATTCGTGGCACTGATTGACGCAATCAATGATTTGACACTTGAACTGATCCAACAATTTAAAGACATWGACATATCTTTTCACTAATTCATAAAGTCTTGTATTATTATCTTTGAGTTCTTCTAGAATGTCATTAATCTCGATGACAGACATGACTTAAGATAATTCAAAACTAGTGATTGTTATCAGCGAAACATTACATCAATTGTAATACAACTTAAACATTGATTGATAACAACCTCATGAGTCAAAACCAATAAATATCTGTAGTGTTGACGAAAAGTGATAACTTATCTCTTAATAATTAAACCAAACTTTTGTTTGAAATGATGGCAACAATTGATGCAATCAATCAAATAATATCATTAATATCTCTCAACTTTGATGTCAATTATGTAAAACTTGAGTCCATYCAAGTTTGTCTGTGCTATGATTAACCACTTGATTGTCTTCKTTGATCACTAATTGTTGTCCAAAATAAGTCTTGAAGTCCACAATCAGCTGATAATACAAAACAAGTGATGAATTGTGTGTACAGTATATGTGGTGACCTCTAGACCTGTCAGTGTGTTATGCATTATGTGATGCAATCAATGACTCATTGTTTGCAAATGTATGGCAAACACWCACACAGTGTTAGTGAACGTCAACTTAAGGCACACATCAGTCATATAATAGACATATAAATACTGCAATTCATTGTTAACTATATTGTCATCACATTTGGTTTAGTAGTTTGTGTCAACTGATCCCCATTTTCATCGATTGTCAACAATGTCAGTCCAATGGACACTCGTTGCCTGTTTTTTGTACGCAGAGATTGCTTTAGTCGTACTTTTAATATTGCCGTTCATCAGTGCAAAGACGTAAGAGACCATTGATTCTTATATAACCATCGATGAGATAATTGCTTTACCATATGTTGATTATAATTGTATGAATAGATGGCAAAAGTTTTTCAAGAGTCGCTTCTTAAGGAGTATTGAGAGTCAGGCAAACCTTTATTTTATGGTTTTTATTGTGATTCTCGTCTTATTGTTTATCGGTATGTCTGATGTTTTCATATTTGATATCATTTTTAACAGTCATTACCTAATAATGTTTTTTGTGGTCAGACTCGGTCCGTGAGATGTCTAAATACACATCGGATAAGATACAGGACTCAGGTCACGGACATTTGGACGCAGAAATGCAACACTCAATGAAACTGTTCAGAGCTCAGCGCAACTTCTATATCGCTGGATTCGCTCTCTTTCTTTGCCTGTAAGTGACCACAATTGTGACCATTGATTGACTGTATCTTAAATAATATGCTTAATGTGTATGTCATGCGGTTTTCAATAGCGTGTGTCTCATATGTTAAGTATTATCCATAACCGGTACTATATATTCAATATTTAGTACTCATTAAGCCATTCATTCATATGTGACAAACATTGGACTCTGTCTGAGATTATAACTGACGATAATGTCTGACATTTGATAAGAAAATAAATGGAGTGTTTGTCTCGCCTTAAAAATTGCTTAAAAAACAATGAAATGCATTGTCATAATTGCAAATATTAATGAAATGGAAAAATATTATTGATTTGTATTTAACATTATATTAATATTATTGCATTTTAATTGTCATTTTCTATGACTTCCATAAGGAAAATGGGAAATGATTTTTCAATTTATTTGCTATTTATTGTTGTATACATTTATCTAACATTTATTATACAATAATTAAGTGCCGATAATTTGATTTAAAAATTTGTTGTTTATAGAGTTGTCCGACGATTGGTTGTATTGATCGGAACTCAGGCACAACTGGAAGCTCAGGCCGAGGCTTCAATCAAACAGGCAAAAGGCGCGTCACAGCATTCAAGACAATTGTTGGAACAGTTGTCGACCAGTCAGAGCCGAGACAATCTGAATAATGAAAATGAAGGCAACAAAAAAATTGAGAAACAGGAAAACGAATTGCGTAAACTGCGCGAAGATTTGGCCACCGCTAAGGAGGACGCCGTTAAATATCGGGTTAATTGTGATGCTATGAGAAAACAGGCGGAATCGGTGTCAGAGGAATATGACAGACTTCGGGTCGAACACGAGAGGCTACAGGTGTGTAATGACAATTTTGACGACACATTTTGAAATTATATCTTTGAAGTAATTTAACATTTGTTTGTATTTTTTCATTTATAGCGGGATTTCGAGAGACAGTCCAATAGTGGCGACCATAAGAAAGATAAATAACAGCATATTATTAAACAGTTTTGCTTTAGTTTAGTAATGTATCCATAAATATGTTACCATTATTTTCCTCTTTTATTAAATTACTTGGTTTTGTATACACACTAAGGTTTTATATTTACTGTTAAATATTTATCAGTAATTATTGGTTTAGAATAGTTTTATTTTGAATTAGTAATATTTAAAATATCAGCAATACTTTTACAAGTGTTATTTTGGTTAATATTTAATTTAAAATTTAATTTTTTTAAAAAGCACTTATACACACAATTAATGATAAATATTTCAAGTTTACAGTCAATACATGTAACGTAAATGTATATACATATGATAAATTTAAATTAAAATTAATATTAATTTTTGTTGACATGATATTAGATAAATCACCTAAAATTGATATCCAAAAAATTTACTGGTTGTTTTTAATACTGATCCCAATGGGATGTTTGGTTTAAACTTAAGAGTATAGATAGTGACTGTGCCAATAGATATGACACCAAAGATTAAACTTTTCAAAAGTTTTGACGACTTTCGGTTAACATTACTGACCATTTCGTCCTCAATATTAGCCGGAAGAGAGAGTATTTCTGGTGTTTGCGGTTCACTAATGTCTTCAATAGAAGTGATGAGCCGTCGAAATGCCTGTACGTCTTCATAAAGCTGTCGGCAATTGATAAGCGTTTGAAGTGTTTCATTGAACACTTGACGACTTGTGGTCACATCATTCTTGAGACTCATTAGTTCGGGTTTTGCTTCAATTTTCTTCTTCATGAATGTTATGGTTTGATCGATACGAACCAAATGACTACTTATATTAGACATAATGCACATAACATCCGGACATCTAATAAAAAAATAGTGGTATTTAATATATCGTAATATCAATAAAGTGTGTCAAATGCATACGTAATGATGACATCGGGTGGCAATTCTTTAATACTTTCTCTTTTCCACTCCTGTTTGTGCATCAAATTGATGTTTGTCATCATTTTTCGTCTGACATATACATTATCGACGCCTATTTTATCCAACACTTGTTCCGTATTTGTGACCAAATCGTGATAACTTAAGCCCTTTTTGTCAAACTCAGGCAAAAGATAATGAAGATCCGAATTGACTAAGAAATCTTCGAGATCAGTGTTACTGTCAAATAATATAGAAAACAATTCACAAATTAAAATTAAATATCTTTCAGAAACTATTAAATATTGATTTACACTATCTTTGTTTCAATCGGTTTATTCCTTTCTCTGCACTTGATTTCAACAACAGGTCTCATATAGTTTTCTAAAGTCTCCAATTCCTCGGGAGTTAATCTTTTATCAGTGCTTTCATTAATTTCATTCTCACTTTCTCTTTGGCTAATGTTATCTAAAATTTCTTTTATCTTAAAATTGAAAACACTTTCCAATAAAATATACCGTATTATCAAATATTAAATAAACAAAAAAACAGTACTTTATAATGTCCTCTTGAATCAGCTATTTGTGCGACAGTTTTATTTAAATTAGTCAATAAATTGATGTCACAGTTACTGTCCAATAGTCTGGCGATTACTTTTCCGTGACCCTCGCGTACTGACCAATGCAAGGCCTATCCATTAAAAGAAATTAAAAGAAATTGAAATTAAATTTAAACCATTTGTTATTACATTCCAGCCGTCATTGTTTCGGTGATTAGCATCTGCTTTACTATCAATAAATTTTTGTGTGAGACCAGCCATTCCCGATTTGGCCGCATAAATAAGTGCCGTATTTCCACTATTATCAGTCATATTGACATCACCACCAGATTCAATGATATAATTAGCGCAATCTATTAAATTATCTTCATTGATATCATTGGCCGCACAGATAGCCATCAATGGTGTGGTTTTGTCTAAAAAATGACACATCAATTGCTTTTTAAGTTTTTTAATTTAAATAATTCAATCAATGATTTACTCAAATTATGGTTAGGATTGGCTCCTCTTTCCAGTAAATAAGTGACAATTTCTTTGCGACCATATTTTGCTGCAATCATTAGTGGTGTCCAATCAGCAGACAGAGGGATATCAATCGGTAGTTCACTGTCTCCTTCAATCAATTGTCTTAAATGGTCAAAGTTGTTGTTGATAATTGCCATACGGACATCATTTACCGCAAGAGTTGAATTAGATTCGAGTGATGCCAACAAAACATTACGCTATCATTTCAACAATATTATCACCAAATGGATCCACGATTTACAATGTCTGAACATACCTTTGGTTTTGTCTTAATCTCTATTTTCTCTGAAACAGCAGATGTATTGATGACATTATTGTTTTTACCGTAGAAATAGTCGTCTGTGTCATCCAAATAGTAGTCATCTTCTTCATCACTCAACTCAGCGCCGCCGGGAAGGTATGCCATGTCTTCAAGTGATGAGAAGTAATGTATTAATAATCAAAGTTTAGTCAATGAAAAAGCCGTTAAAAAAATAAAATAAATAAATAAATAAACTGTTAGTTTGTTATGTAATTAAGTTATAGATTATATCAAACATAGAGTCATTCATATTTAACGTAATATTATTATATTTTTATTAAATATATCATTAGTTTGTTATAGAAAGGGAACCAATAAATGGCAAAAAAAGTAACACATTTTGTGTACAATATTGTTATGTTTAACACGTGTTTGTGTTGACAAACATTATATTATATAATATCCRATGAAATATCAACTAAAGTGTGGATCAATTGGTGATCAAATTTACAATCTTTGTGTAATAATTATATATTTTTTTGCAATAAATTTATTAATTTTGTGATAAATTAAATGACAGACAAATTAAACAACGAATTGTCAGACCATTTGTCTGGTCTATCTCTAAACGGATCGACACCAAAGTCTTCATTGATTACTGATAGCGATGGACACAAGTCTGGATCAGCTCAACGAAACAGAAGTCGTAAGAAGAAAGTACAACAAGAGGTTAAAGAGAGACCAATTCTGGTGTCGGATGTCGTCGGATATGAGAAACAAATCAACGCATTAAGAGATTTAATTGAATTACCGCTGAGGAAGAGCGCATCCATACGCAAAATGTGTGCACTATTACCGAAAACTGTGATGATTTTTGGACCGACGGGAACCGGGAAAACAATGACAGTTAAGGCCTTCTGTCATGAATTGAATCAACAGATGTTTTGTCTTCACATCAATTGCGCCACAATTATAGCCAAGAGTTTTGCCATTTCAGAGGACAACTTACAGACGATATTTACGAACGCTATTGAAATGAGTCCAAGTCTTGTGGTTTTAGACAATATTGAAATGATTTGTTCCAATAGAAAGTCGGCCGCAGATCAAGAAAAACGATTGACAGCTATCTTGTGCTCAATTCTTGATGATCTTCCTAAAGATAAACACATTGTTATTGTTTGTGTAACCAATAAACCAGATCTTATTGATACCAGTCTTCGACGTCCCGGACGAGTGGACAGAGAAATTGAATTTCCAGTTCCCGTTTCGACCGAACGGAAAGTCATTTTGAGAAAATTTTTAACCGAAAATAATAGTAATATCAGTGATAATGTATTAACTGATTTGGCTCAAAGTGCCCATAGTTTTACCGGCGCTGACTTAGCTCTCACCTGTCGTGAAGCGACGCTAATTACTCTTAAAGATAACCGACATATTGTTAGTGAAAATGATTTAAAACAAGCATTTAAACTGATCCGACCATCAGCTATGAGAGAAATCACTTTAGAAGTTCCCAATGTATTTTGGACAGACATCGGTGGTATGCATTCTGTGCGCAATAAATTAACTCAAAGTGTTGTTTGGCCGCTCACTAATCCCGAAGCATTTGAAAGACTGGGAATTGAATCGCCTAAAGGAGTGTTAATGTATGGACCGCCCGGTTGTTGCAAAACAATGATTGGCAAAGCATTAGCCACCGAAAGTGATCTCAATTTTCTGTCAATAAAAGGTCCGGAATTGTTCAACAAATGGGTCGGTGAGTCTGAAAGAGCCGTTCGTGAAGTATTCCGCAAAGCGAAGGCTGCTTCGCCATCAATATTATTCTTCGATGAAATCGACGCTTTAGCTGCCGAACGAGGAGTCGGTCAGAGCACTGTTGGTGACCGAGTATTAGCTCAACTATTGACTGAAATTGATGGCATTGAAAAACTGAATGGTGTGATCATTGTTGCGGCCACTAATCGGCCCGATATGATTGATAAGGCGCTGCTGAGACCCGGACGACTCGATTCAATACTATACGTGCCATTACCTGATCTGCAGACCAGACATGAAATATTGAGAATAAGAACCAGAAAAATGCCGCTAAAATTTGAACAATCAATTGATGACACACTTAAACTTTTATCACAAAAAACTGATGGATATACCGGAGCCGAAATCACTGGTGTCTGTCAAGAAGCTGGTCTTTTAGCACTTGAAGAAGATATCAATTGTAAATTTGTTGAATTAAAACACTTTTTATCGGCTTTAGAGTCAATAAAGCCGAGAATATCTCACGAAACGATTGTGTTTTACGAGAAATATAAAAATGAAATCAATAAGACTATCAATAATAACAAATAAATTAATGATTTAATAAATTTTATTTTTTAATTCTTAAATTTTATACATTATTACTGGTAATCATCAAAATAACAATTTATTTAATGACTGATATATAATAGAGATCATAGCGATTGACAATTTATAATATTATACATTCATTGACGGAATCTAATGTCATTCTTGGGATAAATTTCGGGAATCCTTAGATTCCGCATTTGAACTGAAGATGGATTTATTTCCAATTGATGACCAAATGAATCAAATCCCGGACTTTTGGTGAACAACTTGTCGGGAAAATAATTCAAGATTTGCAATAATTCATTGAATAGTGAATACTTTTCGGGCTCATCTTCTTTGCTAAAATTAAATATACCGTAAGTTATAATTTATTTATTAGTTTACGATAAGTTATAAATTAAAAAATAAATGCTTTACTAGATTCTGGTCAATGTGTCGCAATTAATCCTTGAGTTGACTTTGAGTTATTCAGTAAAATACTGAAGATATCGCTAAAATTCATCGTAATTGTATCATTTGGCTGTTCTTCATATAGTTGGACATTAGGCCAGAGACCATAACTGTTTCTGGCAGTGATGAGCGCTTCCGATATCTTTTTGTTGATAAATTTGAAACATCTGGACATCAATTTAGAAAAGGTTAATAATATACCGGTTAGATTTAACGCTAATTTTTATGAGTACCGGTAATCATATCTTACTTAATAATCCTGTCTTTAGTTATAATACGTATACATCCATCATTAGTATCGTATAAGATATGCTTATCGGGTATAGAGTTGGGAACAGCCAGACAACGACCGGTCCACATAACAATCGATGAAAGATATTGTGCCAACAGATCCATTGCCACCAATTTAGCTTTTCTCTTGAGAAGACACATATTTTTATATTTATTATCAGTAGTCTTAAGTTTATCTTCAATATATCTCATGAATACTTTGTTCATTTGCTTCTTCTGGATCAAGTCTTGTGACTTATTCTGTTCTTCAACAATTGCCAATAAGTTCTTCGCAATCCATGGATAATTGTCATCTTTGAATAATATATACATAAATGTATTGAACGCAAAGTCTTTGGTGGTCTCCAACTTTTTAATCAATTCATTCATAAATGTGTTGTTTTGTAGTTCAAGAATCTCATTCCTGACCATCACGTCATTAACATTACCGATCTCTTGACCAGTTTGTCGTATATCATCGGCTTCCTCTGCGGTAAACACATTGGTGTCGACAAAGTGGTCGATAATATAGTCGACAATAAGATCTTTGCAGATCTCCTTCCGATAGATCTTCAGTGCATTCACTGAATGTCTTTGTGTTTGCATTGATTTGATTTTATAATAAGCATTCATTACTGAAACCAATTAATAAAATTGTAATCACTTTAAAATATCTAATAGTTTTGTTTATTGTAAATCACTTTTTGTATAAATAAAACTATATATTAAACTGAATTTATCTGATAATAAATTAGACTAATAATCAATAATATTAAAAATATGATAAATTATCAAAAATATTGTTACAACACTTTGTAAATAATAAAATCAAACATTGATTGAAAATATATTAATAACTTAAATATAAATATTGAAATAATTTAACCAAGATGAAATATAGTTGATGCAATATATTATTATAACAATATATTATGGTTTATGCAATTAAATTMATTTATTATAATAAATTATAAAATCATTATTTTGCAAAAAAAATTATATAAATCTTGTTATAAAAACATTGAAAAAAATGATGAAACTTTTTATAACATTTTAATATATTGTAGTAATAATATTAGTTATAAAATATAAGTAAATGTCAATTAATATTGAATATTATTTTATAATATCATAACTTATTTGCGGTTAATATTCAGTCGATTGTATGATTGGACACTAATCTTATAAATATATCAAATATAATAATTATTGCTTCAATTCATTGATTATCAATAAATGATTAAAAATTTTTGTTTATTTATGTAAATATGTATTTTAAATACAAAAAACAGTTTAAACAACAAAAAAGTGTCGTTTGAGTCAACAAATTGACACTTATTTTTGTGCTGATGTTTATCAAGTGATTTAAATAAATAAATATTTATATTATTATTATTGTTATAATGATTATGTGGTACACATTGTACACAATATTTATATAATTGTCTTTGCAATCATCATCAATGGTGTGAATGGATATCTTTATTATTATTATTATTATTAACAATAAACTTCAAAAAGTATTGACTAAATCAATGAGTGATACGATTGTAATGTAATAGCGATAGTATTACTGTAAATAACAGCACAAATCGTAAGTCAAACGTTTAGCACTTATTGTTGACATTAATAGTGAAGTCAATCGATTGTGTGAATCAAAGTGTGGCACACATTATGGCACACAAAACATAACCAAATAATCATTTTCTTGTTATACTATATTGTTATACAAAAATAATACAATATTTTATTGTCATGTAATTAATAATTAAAAAATTAGTCCACAAATTAGTATTAATAGGTCTGTCTCATCAAATGTAAACAAACAAATCAATTGATGTTTTATTTGTAGATTTTTTGTTTGTTTGTCGACAATAACAGACAGTATTTTCAATACATTAAACAGTATTTACAGTCAAATGAGTCATTCAATAAATATGTTCAACAAATGTGTTGACTATTAGATTCCCATTGAAAAACATTTGACAAAAGTTTGCAAACTTTTTTTTAAGCACATTATTAGCCGATATTTGATATTTGAACGGAAAATCTGAGATTAAAATTATTTATTTAACCAATTTATTATAATAAAGATAAATAGTTTTAATTGTATAATTAACAACAAGCTTATTGATTAAGTAATCTAGATTTTTACATTATATTGTTTTTATTTCTACATTATATTATCTATGGTTAAAATATTGAATATAAAAATAAATAAATATTTAATTGCAAACTTAACGATGCAAATGCATTATTGTTGACAATCAAAGGCGATGTCAATTGATTTGATTTCAATGTTAATTTGAAAAAGTCTTAGTAATAATTGTATATTTTTGTCATAATTATTACTTATTATTGTTTTTTCATGAATTCAATTTAATAGCTGTATAATGAATAAACTTTGTATATAAACATAAAAAAATTATGCCTTAAAAATGATTCGTAAAATAAAAATTCAATAATTTAATAACAGTATTATCATTATTATTATCCTTCACTGTATTATTTTTGCATAAATAATTTATTAGTTAAAAAATATTTATTATTCAAGCGTTAATTAGTTATATGTATTTTGCTATTTTATTTTATTTATTTTTTTATAAATACTTAATAATAATGACTAAATTATTTATTCCCTATATTTTTGATGAATAAATAGTTATTTTTGAACTTTATAAAACAATTACACTGTAGTATGATTACAGAGTCAATATTATTTAATCATAAAAGCTATTAAAATTACTGGCAAAAAAAATTTTGATAATGTATATAAATTAAATTTATATTAAATTTATATTAAATTTATATTATTAAATAAATTATACTATCATAAACTTGTTGATACAATATAATTATTATGTTATAATAATATAAATTGATAATTGTAATTTTTTAGATTGTTGCCAATTGTCAATGTTTTTTTTAGTATTGCATTATAATTTATTTGATGGGTTGGACTATTAAATTTATACCAAATTATTATCAATGCATCCATCAGTTTCAGTGCTATAATATTGAATTTGATAGATCTGGACATCACTTTCGAAAACCAATTATTTTTAAACGATATATATTTAAATAAGATGTAAATAATTTCAAAACCAATTATTTATTTGTCTGAAAAAAATCCTCTTTAAAAATAAGGCCAAATGAGATAATTGCTAATTAATTTTTGTTGTCTGTTATAAGTATAAAATAAAACATAAAAAATTATTGAATAAAACATAAACATTTAAAAAATCCGGATAATTGTATAGAAAATATTATTAAAATGTGATATTTTTACTTCATTGTCGTCATCTGACATTTTATTATTATTATTATAGTATTGTCTGTATTGTTATATACAGTATATGAAAATACATGTATTGTATTTGATTATAAGATAAATCATTTTTTTATGTTTCATGTTATTAGTATATAAAATAAAATATAAAAAATTGATAACTATTTGATAACTTTGAGAATAAAGAAATGGATGTTTAAACAAATCTTATTAATAAATATTATATTAATATTTGTTATTTAATATATAAAAAATGAGATCAATATCTGTTTTTGAATTTATTGCTATTTAATATTTATAATAATTGTAATACAATATAATAAATGTTGAAATTGAAGTCATTATATTATTTATTCAATTAGTCACTCGAAATGGTTGAAAAAGTTTCTAATCTATAAAACATAAAAATATTATGAATTATTTGTTACATTCAAATGGTTTTTTGTATGAAAAATATTTATATATTTTAAATTTTGAATTAAATCTATTATTATATTTATATTTATACTGTAAGTTATTAAAAGCACTGAATAGCAGAATAATGAATGAATAAATGTTGTTTCAAATATTAATATTTTAAATAATAATATTAATCTAATAATTAATAGTAAAAATATTACAATAATAATAAGTTATATATATGTAAAATATGATAGTTTTAGCTTTGTTTCAGTGAACATATATAATGTATAGCAAATTATAATAACATTTTTTCTATTGTTATTTTTATTAATGTTTTATGAACTTTAAATACATGAATAAAATAATCAATTTTATGGTACACTATATACAGTATATACAGTAAATAATATAAATTATATAAAGGATTTAATTTAACAAATATATCTCTAATGTTATTCTGACAACTCTTTTGAATCTTAATAGGCGTTGATTTGTTTTATGTAAACTTTTTTTTTGTATTTTCTTTAACATATAAAATACTATTTTTCCTAATTTAAGCCCACATTAGCCCCAATTTTGTTGTTGTGTGTGTCTTAAGATTTTTTACATATAAATATGCATTCACTCCTAAATAAGGTTTCTTTTATTAAGGATAACATATATTTTTAACGTCCAGATTAATCTACGTGTTATGTGTGTGTGTGTGTGTGTGTGTGTGTGTGTGTGTGTGAGTGAGAGAGAGAGAGAGAGAGAGAGAGAGAGAGAGAGAGCGAAAAAACACCTTATAAAACATACATAATTTTTTTAAACATTTTTATACCCTGTATTTTAAATTATCATTCAAAAGTGAGATAGGATTTTATTAATAGATAACTTATTATATATTGTATTATTTCTGTGGCTTTTACTTTGTTTACTATTAATGCCGTATCCATTTGTTATATTGAATACAGTATAAGTTATAATAGTATTAGCATAATTTATGATTATCATAATAAATTATAATGGTATTATTATTATTATTAAGTTATCATAAAATAAACATCAATGTTTTTTAATAGTTTATTATATTTTTTTTGAATTATTCACAAAAAAACTACTTGACTTATAAATTGCATACTAGAGTTACATAACTTATATTGACTATAATGAATGCTATGAATATTTATCCCATAAGTCAATTGAAGCAAACAAAATGTTGTAAATCTAAAATTAAGTTAAATATTATTATGTTTTATTTGTAGCTATAAAAGTCAAACAAACATTAATCGACTTATTATGTAATCTTCAACTCAAAAAGATCGTGTTTTTGGTCATTGATATGCTTTTTATTTGTCTATTTTTTCTAATAGTATTATAAATTTAATGGGAAAATAATGTTTTATTGATAAGATATATATATATATATATAATCACGTCATTAAATTTAGTGTCCGTCTTATTAAATGTGATTATTATGTTTTATAATTTGTTATAATTGAAGAGTAAACAAAATTTAATTAGATTTTTTCGCGGATTATAATTAATAATTAGTATTTTCTCTTTTTATTAAACAACAATTATATAATAATAGACAATAATAAAGAAAGAAAGCCAGTCCCATGTTTTTTGATTAAGTTGTATATAATTTTTTYAATTCACTTAATTTTGCAGATAATTAGCCACCACTTGTTTTTTATATGAAATTATTAAAAAGTTATAATTATTTTGAGAGCAAAGAAATTATTTGTACAGAAAGAGATTTAATCATTAATTTGTTTTTTGTTTGTATGTAATACACAATGAAAGGCACTCATAATTAAGGGGCAAAGATATGCATCGAAATCATATTATAATTGTATTCATTATTTGTTATTAACTATATTTATAAATTATTATAAAATATTATTTAGACGTTTCAAATCGTCTAAAAAAGTCAATTAATAGTTTGATGTTTAGTATAGTTATATGCAGACAAACTAGTTTTGTGAACTACTCTAT